TGTCTTCCCGAGGAAAATCCCTCGATCCGCAGGAAAAAATATACCTTAGGATCTCGAAACGTCACTTCGGTTGAAGACCAAATCCCGGGAAAAGCGGGATTAACGACGAAGCCTCCGAGCCTGAGAAAAAGTTCAGCATCTAAAGTATTCCGAAGTGTTCACTTCGAAACACTTGGGGGGCAAACTGTTGGTGTTGGATCTCGCAAGTCGGATCCGGCCCATAGAAAAGTGGTGAACAATGAAACGAAGTGGGCCGTCAGCCCGTTTCAAAAGACAAAAAGAACGGCCCAGTAAAAGTCGGCCTAGCTCGAGTAAAACGTCGGGATCTCGTGAATTAAATGAAAGGCAGGTCATACGGGATTTGCGAGGTTCGGAAGATTTGAAACGGAAACATTGATGAGGGCGAGATCTGCGGCTTGATGAACGACTTCGGTTTTGAATCGCGTGACTATAAATAGAGAACGAAAACCATTGTAATGGGGGATTTTTCTTGAGCAATAAACGGATACACACACTTTACTCTCTTGTTTTCTTATCACGATTGTTGTTCGAATTAGCAAGGCTAGACGATCCGATATACATCATAAAACTTGTATTGCGGATTCCGACATCCACAGTGGTCTTCTACCTTCTATTTACGATTTTATGCTATGAATATATGTTTTTGTCAGGGTTCAAGTCAATCTCCGGATTAGAGACTTATAATCATCCGACGAACAATACGATGGCGTGATAACCGTTTCTAAATTGGTGGGTTCTCTTTCATTGATCTACATATTATATTTTTTGTTCGTTTTTTTTTTCCAAATATTTAGATTGAAACGACGACGAACACGACGATCATACCAAAAATTTCATCTATTCCGGTACGTTTGATCTTTATTTTAATTAGTTTAACAATTAATAGCCGTTTACGATTAATTTCGGATATCTAAATCTTATTAATTTGAGTAAGGTTAGAATAGTATTCTTTTATGTTTATATTAATGCTCCGATTAATAATTTTCGGATATTTGACATTATCATCTTAAATATATCAATATTATAATAAATATTTTCCTTTTCCGATTTTTTTTTTTGGTATAATTCCTTTTCCTGATAAATTATGAAACAGATTTGTTTACACAAAAGGTAAAAAAGAAAAAAAAAAAAAAAAAAAAAAAAAAACCATCAACTGTCTCCATTCACACGTTTCTTCATTATGATCACGAATTCACGTTCATGGAAGCTTCATCATACATTAACACTTACAAGTTTCTTCGTCGAGTTTTTATCCAAGGTTTCTTCGTCAACTCTGTATCCAAGGTAATAAATATTTGTTCTTTTCATTGGTTAGAATTATAGGGTGCATGATAGTATTGACGTCTTAAAGACATAACATGGGCAATATACTATGAGAAGCTTGACTATTCTGCTTCGACAGATCAACAGGTGAAATTCTATCACTAAATTATTAGATCTCTGTTATTGCTATGAATATATGCTTTATGTTAGGATTTCAAGTTTTGCCTTCGTTTAGAAGAATTATATTCACACGACGAAGAACACGATGAATTCAATTAAAGCTTCCTAACTGGTACTTCGTTGTTCCTTTTTTTTTTTTTTTGGTTAATTATCATGTTTATTGTTTCCAAAATTATTTTTTCCTGGTTAATTCCGAAATTCAATTTAATTTTTCCAAAATTAATTAGATTTCATTAAGGGTAATTAAGTAATTACGTAAAATCAAGGACTCAACAAGAGCCGAGAGTCCGACACGTCAGCAAAAACACTTCTCAAATATTGTTATATATAGATGTATATGGAGGGTTATATTGGGGGTTTTAAAAAATAAAAATTGGAGTGGTTTTTAGGAGAAAATCCATTAATGAATTAAGAATAAAATAAGTATGAAATGATAAATATTTAGATAATGTTGCAAAGGAATTTATGAAAATCTCTTATGAATTTCTAATACTTACTTGTGGCAACCGAAGAAAGATTTCCGTTTTCTTCTATATCGTCCGAAGATAAACCGTACATAACTCTTCTAGTGTGGAAACATCCTGATCCAATATAAAATGGTCCTTGGATTCCCGCAACTCCTCGTCCCAAATACTGATTTCAACAAATATAAAAAGAGAGTAAGTATTTACTGGTCAATAAAATAACATTGAATTGATCAAAATTATATAAAATAAGTAAAAGGATGATAAACCGCACCGATTGTATGACGGCAAGTTCGTTGGTGCAAGAATCATAGAAATTTTGAGGGAATTGAACAAAAGCACAATGGTTTGAGTTCTGTAAAAATACACACATTGCTTGCCGCACTACATCTGGTTCATTGACATACATGTCACAGTCTACGTTCAACATGTATGGTGCATTTGTCATCAACCCTGACACTCTTAACTGTTCAAATTTTGTATTAGGCTCATCAGATTTTTGCCATAATTAATAACAAAAAAGAAAACGATCTACCATTATTGGTATTTATTTTTAATGACATAAATATGGTTATATGGATATCAATTCAAAATTTGATTGATATACTGTTATTAAGGAATATACTCTTTTACTATTTTACCTTCATGAATGAAAGGACGCATAAGTCTCTGTATATGGAAGCTCATCATTTCTTTTGTAACTAGGATCGGATCCGCGGTCCACCGCGGGAGAATATTGGTTTACATACGTTACATTTAATATTGTGTGTATTTTTTAGTAGAACGAATCGTGTAGTATACTTATAAATATTCATAATAACGAATTGTAGAGAAAATGTAAAATTGTTTATAAATATACCCATCGTATTAATTATGATTTACAAAATAGAATTTTGTGTTTTAAAATTCTAAAATTAGACGATTCATGGGAGTTAGAGCAGTCAAAATAGGTCAAAAACCGCGAATCGAGCCCACATCATCTCACTATGGGGCAGATTTGGGAAAATATATTAAACCCGCAAATAAGCGGGCCACATGGATTAATTCGCAGTGGGTCATAGGTTTAATCGGTTTTCATCCGCGGGTTAGCGGATCAGCCCGCATATTAGTATTTATTGATAAAATTATAATTTATTCAACATGTGGTAATTTAAACAAACTTTTAATAGTATTTTGATTTATTTATTTATTTTAGTAGTATTTTAAATTTTGGTTACTTTAAAATTATTTAAACAAAATCCATGGACAATCCCGCAAATCCGTATACATTCGCGGGACGGGTTTGTATTTCATATATGCTACCCGCGGGTCATGCGGACCGACTTACTACAAGTCAAAATATTTTTTGTCTATCGCAAAACGGACTTAACGGGACGAATCAACTCGCTTTGACAGTTCTAATGGGAATATTATTTAGTCATACAACAAAATGAAGTTTGGACATAGTAATAATAGAATATGTATCTTATTTGTTAGATGAGAGATTGAAAGATGAAGTATAATGATTAAAAATTAATTATTATTTTTCATGATTCACAAAATTTAATAAATACTTATCATCTTGTTGAATAATTCTAAAATCATATTCAAGAAATCTTTATAAATTGAAAATTAAACTTCTTTGGTAAGCTATAGGTATGAAAATATCATAATTTCGATTTAATCTAATTAAATTAAAATTAGTTACATGGATTTCATATCTATTTAATTTACACGACCAAAATAAAAATATCTATTTAATTTACACGACTAAAATAAAAATATCAATTTAATTTATAAAACAGATGGGTTATTTGTGATAATTTTTGTAGAAATCTTTAGAACTAAGTAAAATATCTTTCAATTAATGATAATTGGCTAAAATGAGCGAAATTAATGACAAAAACGTTGATTGTTATGGAATTAGTCCCAAAAATATACGAACAAATTTATTATACGTAATTAATGTATAATATTATTTGGAATATGCTTTTATTATTAGTTACCATAAGTACAATCAGATTTTATTTGATTTCCATAAATATTTGATTTTATTTCGATTTTTCATTATTATTTCGAATTTATATTCCAAAAAAATTTCAAAGATCCGATTACAGAATTTCGGGTCAATTTTTTGATTTTAACCCGACCCATTTTCATTTGTACTTCTCTTTTAATAGTATAGAGATAATCATATTTTAACGAAAAAATATATACTAATTTCAGATATGTTATTGCTGAATTTAAAAGATAGGCGAATCTAAGTCATAGTAATCAAACGTATGCTTGATAGATGACACAACTTTGAAACTTAAAAAAAAAGAGATGTGTGAGAAAAATCATTAACCAGAAAGTTCATGGCTCCAGTTTTGTAATGATGAAGGTATTTTGGCCTTTTCTCTCTTGAAATGTATACAAGATGAGGGACTTCGTTATCGTCTCCTACACCTCCCTTGTTCTCCCATACCACCTTCATATACACACATAAAACAAGATTCCATATAATTTTTACAATCAAATTCACTAGAAGGAAACAGCCTTGTCTCATACGATGGATTTCGGCCGTTGGCTCCAGCTCGTCGAAAAAAAAATTCCGTCGGAAAGTCTTTTGATGTGTGCATAACTTTGGAAAATTAGTCAAATAACCTAAATATAAATTTTAAAATATAATAAGACCTTAACAATAGTTGAATGATCATTTGGTTTTGTGTTTGAGAAAGCTTCAAAATCATCATCATCTGCATCCAACCAATGTTATTTTAATATGGACTCTCAGAATCAATTACTTTTTGGAGCCAATGGAAATTTGAGATGCTTCGACCAAGAAAGAAAAGGTATGTATTTTCCTGTTTCACACTAGACCGAAGCTTTTATGAGAGTGAAGAGTTCTAGCTCAACAAAGACCAATATTGTTACGTTTAAAGCGAACATTACCCTAATATCTAAATATTTCACATGCGCCTATCTTATATTAGAAGAATCTGACAAGTGACAATATTGAATGCTTATTGTCAACTTGGGATGTACACGCTTAACGAGTTATTAAACTATGATTTAATTATATAATCAAAAGAAAAGACTTCAGCTTGCAACTTTTTCACGTTCTTTCAAAGAGAACGTATAATATTTGCTAATAAAACGTACATGGATTCTTGATCAAAGACTAAGCTATTTCATTTGTCTCTACACTTTGAGCAACAATGGCAGCATTGATCATCTTCATCCTCTTATGTCTCTTCACATTCCTCTGTTACTCTCTCTTCTTCATGAAACCAAAGGACTCACGAGATGACCGTGACCTTCCTCCGAGTCCTCCTTCTCTTCCTATCATCGGTCATCTTCACCTAATTCTTCTCTCTACTTTAACCCACAAGTCTTTTCAGAGACTCTCATCCAAGTATGGACCTCTTCTCCATCTCCGCATCTTCCACGTTCCCATAGTCCTTGCCTCCTCGGCCTCAGTGGCCTACGATATCTTCAGGGACCAAGACGTGAATGTATCCTTTCGGCATTCCCCTCCGATCGAGGAGTCTCTCTTTTTGGGATCGTATAGCTTCATCAGCGCTCCTTATGGAGATTACTGGAAATTCATGAGGAAGCTCATGGTTACAAAGATTCTTGGACCGCAAGCACTCCAGCGGTCACGAAGATTCCGTGAAGATGAGCTTGATCGGTTCTACAAAAATCTACTCGATAAGGCGAGTAAGAAGGAGATTGTTGAGATCGGTGAGGAAGCAGCGAAGCTCAATAACAACACCATCTGCAAGATGATCATGGGGAGGAGTTGTTCTGAGGAGAGCGGTGAGGCAGAGAGGGTCAGAGGCTTGGTGACTGAGTCAATGGCCTTGACAAAGAAAATTTTCTTGGCGACCATCTTTGACAAACCACTTAAGAAGCTCGGGATCTCACTGTTCAAAAAGGAGATAATGAGTGTTTCCCACAAGTTCGACGAGCTACTGGAGAAGATTCTTGTGGAACACGAAGAGAAAATGGAGGAGGATCATCAAGGTACTGACATGATGGATGTGTTGTTGGAAGCTTATAAAGACGAAAACGCAGAGTATAAAATCACAAGAAACCATATCAAGTCCTTGTTTGTGGTAAAATGTTCATCTCTTTTAGGTGTGTTCCTATGCTAACACCATTGATTGTGTTGACTAAGAAATGTTTGCTAGTACAGGATCTTTTCATTGCAGGCACTGACACCTCATCGACCACTATACAGTGGATCATGGCGGAGATCATTAACCATCCCAAGATTCTTGAGAGACTAAGAGAAGAAATCAATTCCGTTGTAGGGAAAAGCAGATTGATTCAAGAAACTGACTTACCCAACCTCCCTTACTTGCAAGCAATAATCAAAGAAGGGCTAAGATTGCATCCGCCGGGGCCTCTCTTGCCAAGAACGGTCCAAGAAAGGTGTGAAATTAGAGGGTTCCACATACCAGAGAAGACAATTCTTATTGTTAATTCTTATGCTATAATGAGAGATCCTGATTATTGGGAAGATCCGGAGGAGTTTAAACCTGAGAGGTTTTTAGGTTTTCCAAGATCAGGACAAGAGGACGAGATAAGAGATAAATTCCTAAAATATATTCCTTTTGCCAGCGGAAGGAGAGGTTGTCCTGGAACAAATCTAGCTCATGTCTCTGTAGGAACCGCGGTTGGAGTGATGGTGCAGTGCTTTGATTGGAAAATCAAAGGAGAGAAAGTCAACATGAATGAGGCTGCTGGAACAATGGTGTTGACCATGGCTCACCCTCTTAAGTGCACTCCTGTTCCTCGAACCCTAAACCTTTTATTACCTTCCTAGTTCTTGACTTGGAGATGTCAGCTTGCTTTCTCTTGTTTTTAATTAAACTCATGATTGGTTAAACATGTTTTCCCTGTTTATTGGCTAATTTCTGGTTTAGTTTAGTTTGGCTTTATTTCCGGTTTGTTGTATGGAACTCTAAACATTTTGTACGTTTCAGAAATTTAAAATTAGTCGTTCTTGGTTATGGCACATTTTTTACGATTTGATTCATCAAACAATATATTTTACCGTTTAAGGTCTGATGCCATATAATTCGTCTTTATTTTACTACTTCTATTTTCTTCGAACCTATAAATATTGCCTCAACCCTAGATCCCAGTTTTTTTTTGTGTTGAAGCCTCTGTCTCTCCTTCTTGTCTGGTTGTCAAAATCATAGTTAGTAGCTATATACTGATTTACGCGAACACAATGTTTGCATTCTGAAAAATCTTACAATTTGTCCTACAGTAACTTGACCCTTATGTTATCTGCATAATCTTAATTTAGCAGAACATGGAAAGAAAATACAAGTTTTCTGTTGTTGGAATATGTTTTATGATACGTTATATATATATATCAACTGTTAGGGTTTTGTTCTAAGCCAAAACGTCTGGTCAGGATATCATCAGAGGCATTATCCGAGGGACATGCTCTGGTTGGCTAATCTAAATTCAACATCAATATTTTTCATGGTACACATCTCCAGTGTTTGTTTTTGGAAGCTATGCTCTTGTGCTTTTTGTATATGTCGCTTAGTTATTGGGCAGCACATTAAAAATATAGTAAACATGCAGGTTTTAAACGAGGAAGAGGAAGAACGTCTCGATGATTACTTCCTAACCTGTCAACTAAATTTAGGTGCACAAATTATGAATGTCGAACTGATTATATATTCTTTTAGAAAAATGGCAAATTTTCCGTTACGAATGTGAAACGTTTCATAGGTATAACAACAAAGCATGCCAATACATAAAACATTGATTCTTTATCATATTGAGCAAAAATGGGAGTAATGAGATTATTATATATTCCTTTCATTTTGAAAATAATTATATATTCCTTTCATTTTGAAAATAATTATATATTCCTTCTGTATCTTTTCTTAGGGGTGTTAAAATGGTTAACACAACCCAACTCAACTCATTATCCAATGAGTTTGAAGTTAAATGAGTTCATGGGTTGACTCAACTCATTTAGCAAATAATGAGTCAACCCATGAACTCATTTAATTTGATGGGTTAGATGGTTAAATGAGTTTACCCATTAATATAATAAATAAATTAATAATTATTAATTTATATTTTTGGCGGAAAAATCACGAATTTACGTTTTTGGCTGGAAAATCACAGATTTACGTTTTTGGCGGGAAAATCACGAATTTACGTTTTTGGCGGGAAAATCACAGATTTAAGTTTTTGGTGGGAAATCACAGATTTACATTTTTTGCGGAAAAATCACGAATTTACGTTTTTGGCGGGAAAATCACAGATTTCCGTTTTTGGCGGGAAAATCACTTTTACGTTTTTGGCGGGAAAATCACGGATTTACATTTTTGGTGGAAAAATCATGAATTTACGTTTTTGGCGGGAAAATCACAGATTTCTGTTTTTGGCGGGAAAATCACAGATTTACATTTTTGGCGGGAAAATCATGAATTTACGTTTTTGGCGGGAAAATCACGAATTTACGTTTTTGGCGGGAAAATCACGGATTTACGTTTTTGGCGGGAAAATCACGGATTTACGTTTTTGGCGGGAAAATTTTATATTCTCATTTTTGGTTAAAAATTACAAAAAAAATTGGCGGAAAAATCACGGAAAAATGCTTTTCTCAACACTGTCTCTTTGCCTTCTTATGCAAGAAGTTAACTTTATTACAAGTTTGTTGGAAAAATGCTTTTCTTTTTATACCTCTAGTAAAAAGATATATTCGATTCATACATCAAGTATATCACCTTGCCAATTTATACCTCAAAAAATATTTATTCAAAAACTAATACGTAAATTATTAATTCGTGTAAAATCATAAATCTACCGCAATTGAAGCAAAAGCCTTTTAAATTTTGCTTACATGGACGCCAAATGTGAAACGACATGGGTTTCACGTCACAATGTTAACAATTTTATTTTTTTTCTATTTTAGTTTATTTGGTAAGTTTTGCATAGACATTTACACCTGTACATATATACCATCTTAAAAAGTATCACAAAAAAATTGTATTCAATCCTATATTTTTAAATCAATTTGAGTTTTAATGAATTTTAGATAATTTAGATGTATTTAGGTGAATTTGGGAAAAAATTGGGAAGTTGTTATGTTTTGTTGTTTCATCCCACTTAAACTATGAGATTTGAATCTTTGTATATTTAATTAAGTTTATCATTTAAAATCTCTTAAAGTCATTAAAAAAATTCAATGGTTAAAATGTTTCAAATAACAGTAGATTTTAAAGTATTTTTATAAATCATTAGGTCAATAATATTGGATTTTTGGTGAGTTTTCATGGCGGAAGAAGAGGCGGAGAGAGTATAAGAGTTTCGGAGAATCCAACGGAAATTGAAATTGAAAATTTTATGTGTAAATTTTATGCAAAATCTAACAAATAAATAAATTTTATTGGTCATTTTGGTTACAAAAATTTAAAAACGGTTGATCCTATCGGTTGTAGTGGCGGTTTAACTCTTTTTTATAATAATGATTTCAATGTTTCAATTCTTTATCAAAGTAATCGGTTAATCGATATTGAAGCAAGTTATAAAGGTAAATTAATTAATCTCACTTTTGTTTATGGAGACCCGGTTCCAAATAAGAGGGAACAAGTTTGGGAGCGGTTAACACGAACTGGTTTGTCTCGGGATACACCTTGGTTTATAATCGGTGATTTTAATGAATTAACTGGAAATCATGAAAAAAGAGGTGGTAAATTAAGACATGCATCCTCTTTTATCCCTTTTAATTTAATGATTCAAAATTGTGGCTTTTTGGAGTTTCCATATATCGGAGACTGGTTGTCTTGGCGATGTTGGCGGGATAAAAAACCAATACGGTGTCGTTTGGATAGAGCGTTAGCGAATGAAGATTGGCATGAATTGTTCTGCAATTCATTCGTAGAATACTTACCAATGGTAGCTTCTGATCACTCACCGGTGATTGCTACGATTGCCGATAAGGTACCACGGGGGAAACGGAGTTTCAGGTTTGATAAGAGATGGATAGGGAAGGAAGGGTTATTAGAGGCAATTGCAAATGGTTGGAATAGTGATACAGAGCTAGGAGTTGGGAAGTTTGTGGAAAAATTATCTAATTGTAGGCGAGCTATTTCGCAATGGCGGAGAGAATTAATTTCTTATGGTCGGAAAACAATTGAAGAACTAAAAATGGAATTATTTGCGGCATAGAGAGATGACAGGAGACCACGGGAAGAGATTACGGAATTAACAATGCGATTAAAAGAGGCTTATCGGGATGAGGAATTGTATTGGCATCAAAAGAGTAGGAGTTTTTGGATGAAATTAGGGGATAATAATTCAAAGTATTTTCATGCTCTAACGAAACAGAGACGGGCAAGAAATAGAATCACGGGGTTACATGATGAAAACGGGATTTGGTCTGCAGAGGATAAAGATATTCAAAATATAGCGGTTTCTTATTTGGGAAAAATGTCAAAAAAATCATGAACTTTCAAATTTGGGACGATTTAATCTTGGAGGAATCCTTGGCAGAAGTTCAAAGTCTTATTACGGATCAGATTAATAATTTTCTAACGGCACCCGCAACGGAGTGTGAAGTGCGAACGGCTTTGTTTATGATGCATCCGGAAAAATCGCCAGGACCGCATTATTTTTTCAAAAGGCTTGGGTTACTATTAAAAAAGATCTTCTTTTTCTAGTCAACTCTTTTTTAGAGGATGTAATTTTTGATAAAAGGTTAAATACGACTAATATTTGTTTGATTCCAAAAACGGAAAGACCAACACGGATGACGGAGTTACGGCCTATAAGTCTTTGCAATGTTGGTTATAAAATTATATCGAAGATTCTTTGCCAGAGACTTAAGACGGTTCTACCAACACTGATTACGGAAACACAATCAGCTTTTGTAGAAGGGCGTTTGATTTCGGATAATATTCTCATTGCACAAGAGATGTTTCATGGTTTGAGAACTAACCCCTCCTGTAAAGGAAAGTTCATGGCTATTAAAACGGATATGAGTAAAGCTTATGATAGGGTGGAATGGATTTTCATTGAAAAGGTTTTAAGAAAATTGGGATTCTGTGAAAAATGGATTAACTGGATAATGTGGTGTATTACAACAATCCAATATAGAGTTCTCCTTAATGGTCAACCTAGAGGACTCATAGTACCAGAGAGGGGATTACGACAAGGAGACCCACTCTCACCTTATTTATTCATCCTTTGCACGGAAGTGCTAATTGCAAATATTCGGAAAGCAGAACGGGAAAAATTAATTACGGGTATCAAAGTTAGGGGTGTCAAAATGGGTTAATACCCATGGGTTACCCGAACCCGCCCATGATTTTAGTGGGTTTGGGTAGAATTTTTTTACCCATATATATATATGGGTTTTAGTGGGTTACCCTATTTGGGTTATGGGTTTAATGGGTAAAACCCATTAGGGTCATGGGTTACCCATGGGTTTCATAACCAAAACTAAAAAGTAAAATTTATATATATCTATATTAATATATTATGTAAAATTTATATAAATATATGTAAAATATCTTCTTTTCTTTACAACTATCTTTTTTATTTGGTTTTATGGTTCTTTGGATTTGTGGTTTTAAGATTTTAGGATGCTTTTCTACTTTAATATCTAGATTTTTTAATTTTTTATTTAAAAACTTTTGTTGGTTTACAATTTTATGTTATTTTTTTGGATTTTTATTATTTATATATTTTATTATACATATATATGGGTACCCATATAACCCATTAAGCCAACGGGTTTCTACAATAATAGGTTTGGGTATGTAAATTCAACCCATATAAATATATGGGTCGGGTCAAACCCATCCATTAAACACTCGAACCCATGTGGGTTTGGGTCGGGTCGGGTCGGGTTACCCATTTTGACACCCCTAATCAAAGTAGCAAACGCGAGTCCTTCGGTCTCACATTTGTTGTTTGCGGATGATAGTTTATTTTTTTGCAAGGCTAACAAGGACCAATGTGGGGTTATTTTGGGGATTTTAAAGAAGTATGAAGCGGTCTCGGGACAGCAGATAAACTTTTTAAAATCATCGATTCAGTTTGGGCATAAGGTAGACGATGCCATCAAGGAAGAAATCAAATCTACCTTGGGTATCACTACTATCGGTGGTATGGGTTCTTATCTCGGATTGCCGGAGAGTTTAGGTGGTTCCAAGACAAAAATTTTCTCATTTGTTAGAGATAGATTACAAACAAGAATTAACGGATGGTCGGCCAAATTTTTATCGAAAGGTGGGAAAGAAGTGCTGATTAAATCGGTAGCTGCAGCATTACCAACTTATGTTATGTCATGCTTCAGACTACCGAAAACAATCACTTCAAAACTCACTAGTGCGGTTGCTAATTTTTGGTGGAGTTCGAATGGGGATTCCAGAGGTATGCATTGGATGGCATGGAATAAATTGTGTAACGGTCAATCGGAAAGGGGGTTAGGATTTCGGAATGTAGACGATTTTAATTCTGCTTTATTGGCAAAACAATTATGGCGGTTGATTACGGTTCCAGATTCTCTTTTCGCAAAGGTTTTTAAAGGGCGGTATTTTCGGAAATCCAATCCTTTGGAAAATATAAAATCGTACTCTCCATCATATGGATGGCGGAGTGTATGTTCAGCTAGATCTCTGGTTAATAAAGGACTTATTAAAAGAGTCGGATCTGGGTCATCCATCTCAGTTTGGGAGGACCCCTGGATTCCAGCTCAATTCCCGAAACCAGCAAAAAGTAATGGGTCCATTGTTGATCCATCTTTAAAAGTTATCAATCTTATAGATAGTCGGTCAAACTTTTGGAATATTGATCTCTTACAGGCGACCTTTGCTCCAGAAGATGTCGAGATAATAAGTGCCCTACCTGTGGGTGCGCCAACTAAGGAAGATACTATGGGTTGACATTTTACAAAATCAGGAAAGTATACTGTTAAATCGGGATATCATACTTCACGGATAGAAAAAACGGAGAACAACATATTTTCTATAGGACCAGACATCAAACCGCTAAAAGCACATACTTGGCAAGTGCAGTGTCCACCTAAGATACGCCATTTTTTGTGGCAAATTTTAACGGGTTGTATACCGGTTACGGAAAATTTGCGGAAACGAGGAATTGACTGTGATACAGGTTATGCCAGATGTGGTGCACTAGAGGAAACGATTAATCACACACTCTTCCAGTGCCACCCGGCACGGCAGATTTGGGCGCTTTCACAGATTCCCATAGGTATGGGGTTTTTTCCCACAGAATCTATTTTTGCGAACTTGGATCATTTATTTTGGAGAATACCTTCGGAATTTGATTGCTCAGTTTTTCCATGAATTATCTGGTATATTTGGAAAGCAAGGAATGAGAAAATATTTGAAAATATAGACAATGATCTACTAGAGGTATTACGGTTAGCGGAAAAAGAGGCACAATTGTGGCATGCAGCTCAAATCGAGCTTATTAACGAAAATCAGGGTTCTGTGGATTTGGTAACTCGATCTCGAGTGAGGGATGCTTCACTTGATTCGACTTATTCAGGGTACCGTTGTTTTGTGGATGGATCATGGAAAGGAAGTGATAAGTTCTCCGGTACAGGATGGTTCTGTACATCATCAAATGGAGAACCGCCAACCATGGGAGCTGCCAACCTCCGTAGAAGTCTATCTCCCCTACATACAGAAGCCGAGGCCCTTCTCTGGGTGATGAAGTGCATGATTGGTGCAGATAATCAAGAGGTAGCGTTCTTTACAGACTGTTCTGACCTGGTGAAGATGGTGTCTTCTCCAACCGAATGGCCGGCGTTTTCAGTGTATTTGGTTGAATTTCAGAGTGACAAGGAAGAATTCTCTACTTTTTCTTTATCTTTAATTTCTCGTAGCGCTAATGTAAAAGCAGATAATCTGGCACGAAAAGTTCGTACAGAACCGCAACATATCACATATGTAAACAACATTCCTCAGGAATGGCTCTTTTGAATTTTAATTAATTTCGGATGACAAAAAAAAAAAAAATTGAAATTGAGAAAAAAATTGTTTATTAACACTCTAGCATGCCATCCAGTTTGTTTCACACGTGGTGTCTATGTCATCAATTTATAAATTTAGAAAGTATTTTTAAATGAATGTTTTGTTGAGTTATAAGTTTGTATGGTGATATATTTTATGTATGAATCGAACATAAATCTTTACTCGATGTGAAAAAAGTATTTTTCCCCGCATGTTATTGTTTAATTCATACATGTATGTACAACGAACTATATACTATTTTTTTTTTTTTTTTTTTTGTCAAAGATGAAATTTCATTTACTCAAACCAAACCAGATGCCGGTACAATAAATGCAGACATTAAAGCAGATTTTGCAAGTGCATCTGCCCTTGTGTTTTTTCCCCGAGGGACATAAGAGAAGGAACATTCATCGAATTGAGAAGAAAAATAAAGGATGTCTTGGAGAATCCCGTAGAGCTCCTTTGAAGAAGACTCCAAATTGAGTGCTTTGATCACCAGCTGTGAATCTGAAGCAAAAGAAACTTTCCTGTAGCCAAGGTCAAGAGCTTGTTTTTGGGCCAGAGATAGAGCAATTGCCTCTGCCAGAAGAGGTGAACCCACATTTGTTGCAGATGAGCTATCATGATGTTCAGAATTGGCGAGGTGATTGAAGAAAACCCACCCGAATCCCGCTTCTCCCGGATCTCGCCACGCCGCATCAGAGAAGCACCAGATAGTACCTGCATCTGTGGTATCCATCGGAGGTAAGGAGCGGCTTTGAGTCTGAGTTGGATGGGTTGACCGAGCACCGATCCACTCTCGGGCTTGTCTGATGGCGTTGGAGAGCACATCAGCGGGTAGAAGTTGAGCCATCTCAAAGATCTTCTTGTTTCTGCAGGTCCAAATGTTCCACAAGATCCACGGAACTAAGGGTTCAGTCCCTACCCCAGAGGAGGAAGGTTAACCAACCGATTAGAGAGCTCAATCCCCATTCTCAAGCTGGATATGCGAGCAGGGTTGAATTGCGATTTGAAAAGCGCCGACTCCCAGATCTTGATTGCAAAAGGGCATTGAAAGAATAAGTGTGGGCAACATCCGGACAGGTTGATGCCTCTGGATTTCATGGTTTCTCCTAGAGGAAGAGCATCTTTTAAGAGTTTCCAGAGGAAAAATTTTATCTTTGGTAAGCACTTGATATTCCATATCTCCTTGAACCAGTTGAAACCATTTAGAGGGTTGTTTTGATGATTTTGTTTTTCCTCCAACAGGGAAGCGGCGTGGTACCCGGATTTTGAAGAGTATTCACCTGATTTGGTGAGGAGCCAGACATGGCGATCCATAGCATCTGTTCTACTTGGTCGGAGGGAGAGAATATCTTGTTCATACGCCGGGAGAAGCTTTCGGATCATATCTCTGTTCCAAGATTTAGAGACAGGGCAGAGGAGATTTGCGACTGTTAAGTGTTGGCTGAGCTCTGTTGGTGGTCCCATGGGAGTAGTCGTCTTTGAGAGAGACACCCATGGTTCGTACCACAACAAAGTATTGGCACCAAATCCAATTACCTTTCTGAGATGAGTTTTTAGGAGATCACGACCAAGGCAGATCCCTCGCCATCCATGAGATGCAGTTGGTGACACCTTGCAGTCCAGGAAAGGAGAGGTCTTGCAATATTTTCCTAGGAGAAGTTTGGCCAGTAAGCAGGAGGGATTGGAGAGAATTCTCCAACTGATCTTAGCAAGGAGAGCATCATTGAAATTAGGTATGTCTCTAAATCCCAATCCGCCAATACTTTTAGCCTGAGTTAGCTTTGACCACGCAATCCAACACATTTTCTTGTGTTCAGCAGAGGAGTCCCACCAGAATCTGGTGAGAGCTGACTGGATTCTTTTACAGAGAGATCCTGGGATTTTGAAGCACAACATTGTATAGGTAGGCATAGCAGCCAAGACAGCTTTCAGCATTGTATCCTTGCCTGCGGTAGATAAGAATCTTGTTGACCAGCTTAGGGCTCGTTGTCTGATTCTATCTATTATCATGTTGAACATATCTTTCTTTTTCCTGCCAAAGAATTCAGGGAGTCCAAGATATTTACCTAGTCCTCCTACCTGCTGCATTCCCAGAGTTTGGTGAGCTTTTTCTTTGATGCTTGCAGGTGTCTTTGCAGAGAAGGTTATAGAGGATTTTCCTTTATTGATCATTTGACCGGAGGCTATCTCATATCTCTGAATAATCTTCAAAAGTGTTTTGCAGCTTTGCTCATCAGTTCTACAAAAGAACATGGTGTCGTCGGCGAAGAGTAGGTGATTTACTCTTGGGCAGCCTAACGCAATTCTGACTCCAGGTAAGGATCCATCCTGTATACTATTGTACATTAATTAATGAGAAGAGATCTTTTCATTATTCTTTGGTCTTTTCTGCCCTCATGAGTCATGAGTCATGAGATATGTATGGTATCAGAAAAAGTCAAAGTCCTACGTATCTTTGATTCGTTTTGTTCCTACAATCTAGAGCTTAATGAGTGCTTCCAGCGATGAAATTCTTCTCAATTTCTACATCCATATATGGAATTTTATTTGTTTGATGCTTAAAACTTAAAACCAAGTAAGAAGATAGAAGCTGTGCTTTCTTCACAGATAGAAGCTGGTGTCTTTCTTACACACTAGATTCAAGCTTAAAGATTTTCCAGCTACATGACCACGGAATTAAAAAAATTTCAAGTTTAATTCACTCTATCTTCTAATTTACCCCATTTTTAATCTTTAAACTTTATAACATTGTTACTAGGATTTATACTGTGTTGTTTTATTACTTAAGTTTTATTTGAGAGTAAGTAAGTGTCGTTTTATATATTCAATAAATTTTAATACTTATTCCTACTACTTTAAGTTATTAACCAATGAAAAAATCATATAATGCATTAATAAAGGATAAAAATTAAAAATTTATTTACTTTTTAATATATGTAAGAAATAATTTAAAATGATACTTATCATAAAACTGTTATAACTATATGGACTCTAAGAGTCAATTACGTAAATTAGAGCAAAATTAACTACATCATGTATTTCATTTTTTCTACTCCGCTCTAGGGCCGGCTGAGACGATATGGCGGGGTGCGACGGCTCGGACCCCAATTTTGTGTTCGGTTAATGTAGGGATTCGTTTAAAATAATAATAATATTAAATTAGAAAAAAGAAGTAAAAATAAGATTGAAAGGATCCACAAAAATATTTAATGTATGTTTTGGTTTTCCTGATAATAAAATTTCTATCAAAATAATATATTTTTAATAGTAAGAAACCAAAAACCAAAATTTGGGGGCCAAAATGTTTTTTTTTTTTTTTTTTTTGCCAAATCAGCCGCTGATAATGTTGAGCCATCCATTCCACTTTACCATATTTTAATATTTAACCCGTCTTGACCATATTTAATCAGTTTGTTTAGTTAATTCTGCTTATTCTAAACTGTTTAATATTTCTTCCATTTCATAGTAAGTGTTTTGTTTTTTCTTTGTGCACCCATATTAAGCGTTTTCTAAAACCTTAATTTTTGATAAATTTTATAATTTATTCTCTACTACTTCAATGGATTTATTGATTAAAAAATTGTATAATTTATTTATTACGGATAAAACAAAAAAAATTATTTTTTAATATATATGAAAAAATTCTTTTTTTTTTTGACATCTTTGGATCGACAAAGCCCGATCCATAGCCAATCCCTACTACGCGGGGTAACGCGACTTACTGGAGTCGAACTCCGGTGGAGAAAGCGGAGTCAAATGGACTTAACTACTTGACTAAAAGCACATTCCCTGAAAAAATTCTTTATAAACACTTATTATAAAACTGATGGAGTATGCTATTACTATTAGGACTATGAGAAAGTCAATTACGTAAAGGAACATTAACTATCCCATGTGATTTATTTTTCTGCTCCTTATTACTGTTGACTGTTTTGTTTTAATACAATATGTTATTGTAATTTGGATACAGAGAGTCATTTGCGTAAAGTAGAGGAACAATGACCATCCCATGTGTTTAATTTAGTTTGCTGCGCTTTCATCACATATGATCCATTTGAGTAGTTTATTGGCTGTTTAACTTAATAAATTTTTCCGAAAATTTAATTGTCAGCTATACGAAAATATAGTCCAACCAGGGTCGGTCCGGTAAAATCCGAGTGCGAATACGAAAAAAATTTTGAGTCCTTTTTAATAAGTAAAAACTGCTAAAAAATTTTTTTTTCCTAATTATGGGGCATTTATAATTTTTATTTAACATTTTTTGTTAAGTTTGGACATTGTTTGCTAATTATAAGATTTTTACTAATTATGAGGCTTTCTTACTAATTATGGGGTTTTTTTTGTTAATTTTGAGGTCTATTTTACTAAGTTTGAGGCTTATTTTACTAATTGTGGGGCCTTAAAAAAAAAAAACCTCACAAAATGGGGTTCGGAAATTTGAGGCCCAATACAAATGTTTTGTTGAAATCTGTCGAGGGTCGGGCTTGAGTCCAACACAAAATCACATATCTAAATTATTTTCTTGATAAACTGTATAGTTTTTTCTTAAAGACTTGATTGATTACTCCAAATATTATATAATTTACTTACTAAGAATTTTTTTTTTGTGCGCCTTACTAACTAAGGATAAAAAAAAAAAATTTAATTCTTTCTTATTGTGTAATATGAATTTTTATATTTAAATGACACTTATTATAAAAAAGGAAAAAATATGGAATTACTAATTAGACTCTGAGGGTCATGAATTGCCTAAATTTAGGGATCATTAACTATCCCACATGTTTCATTTTGTCTGCTCAAAAAACATTTGACCTGTTTGTTTAGTTTATTCTCCTTAATGTTGACTGTTTAGTACAATGTTATTCTAATATGGACTCTGAGAATCAATTGCGTAAACTAGAGGAACACTGACTGCCCCATGTGTTTGATTTGTTTTACTACGCTTTAATCACATTTAATCCACTTGTTTTAATTTAGTTTTTTTCCCCTTACTCTCTTCTGTTTAATACATTATTTTAGAAAAAATAATGGTCAACTATACGAAATATAGTCCGACGTACATGATCACATATCTAGATTAAACGAATGTATGAATAGTTGAATACCAAGAACAAATTTAAGTATTGATACACTAATTTAGTATAACTGCGTGACGACTATGTGTTAGATTATACTATAAAGAATAATATATTGACAATTATTTTACTTTATTTTTATTTGACTCAGAGAGTAAATTACATAAATTAGAGAAACATTAACTGCCCAATGTGTTTGATTTTGGCTGGTACGCTTTAGTCAGATTTGATCCATTTGTATAGTTTATTCTGCTTTACTGCTTACTTTGTATCTTATTAGTTTAGGAATTCAAAGAGATTTTATGAATTAATATGGTTGATTAGGGATATTTTTAATTTATAAATTTACTAAATTTTATACAAAATTTGAAAACTACACTCATGATATGTTGCGTTTTTGGTATCTTAGATTCTTTGTTTAGCTTCCGTTTTGAGTCGTTTGTCATGTCGTAGTCCGTCTTTTGCGTTTTTGTGGTCTTGTCTTGAGTCTTTTACATGTTATAGGTGCTTGAGCGGGATTTAGAGGTTTTCGAGCGTTATTGGGCTTGTTCGGGCCAAAAATGATCGAGAGAAGAAGTAGCGGATACTAGTGACTGGGATCGATCGATACTCATTAAACGACCATCTAATGATCTTTTATCTCTAAAAGAGTTCTTTCTTATTCATATTTCATGAAGACATTTCTTTAAATGCTTTGACATTAATTATCGATTGTTGACTTAATTGTAGATATTATTTATGACTAAATGTTAATATGAATACAACATCATTCCATATAAAATGCGAATATACCGAGTTTTATGAACATTATTTAGTGTAAAGGTATATCTCTAGTACCTTGTTTATAGAACATATTTAGCGAGCTTGTTTTACCCAACGAAGCTTGTGCAGCGTGCCATAAGAGAATTCTCGACTAAGTCATCAATGTGCCTATCTTATCTTCCTTTCCATGGTTACATAGCCAAACGGTTAAACCCAACTTTATAATCTAATAATTTGTTTAACAATATATAGAATGTATTTTCTAAGAACTCATTCATTTCACACAATGAATGAGATCTAAAAGATTTTACCTTAGTCATGTGTATTATCATTTTAAGGTTTAGAAATTTATTAAAACACTTTTAACTACCAATTCTTTCCTCATCTTCTATGATGCACTCGTTGCCTCTCGACATCTACTTTCTTTTCACCTTCTATTGACTCACATATAATATATATTGGACTATGAATTAATTTTCAAGATATATCATAACTATTTTCTCCTAATTACTATCTTTCAATACTCAATTTTTTGGGTTAAAAGCATTTGATTTCATTGATGAAATACCAAACTTATTATTCTTTTTGATCACGTTATAAATTGTAGTTCCACTTGACAATATATTACACAAATTACATATCACTTTTTTTTAACGGCTTACATATTATTTTTTTTATATTTTGCTGCAGAACTCATGAATAATATGATCATTGATTATATTTTTTTAAAGATGGATGACAAGGTTTTAAAATTTTCAAGATTTATTTTTATAGTTTCACGAGATAAAATATGATTTATAACTTTTTCTGCCGACTTGTTGATTCTTGGTAGAAATAATTATTTTATTTTACTGTGACTTATTGATAATGTTGATTTTTTTAACTATCAATAAGTCACAGTAATTACTGTTTTAATTGTAAGATAGTTAAAAAATTACAAAAAAAATTATTTGTAGATTCGATCCCTTTTATATTACTGTGTTTACTGTTTACATGCAGTTTTATCTTAGAACTAAAAATCTGTGTATCATGAGTTTCTCCAATGATTGGACATTTGGACTCTTGTTTTTATGATCCAACTATAGTGTAATTTCTCTCTTTTAGTCATTAGTATACATTCTTTGTAGTATCAAGCTGTACAAACTCTCTTCATCGATATAAAAAAAAAAAAAAAAAACAAAGCTCTTCTTCTCTTACTCTTTCTTTTATGTTATCGGAACTTTTTTGAAAAATCAATACGATTCAAGTGACAATGGCAGACACAATCACACAAACACAGTCTGAAGCACAAACCTTATCGAAAAAACAAATCCGAGTCCAACAAAGATGAATGCGACGACAACTGTGGAAGTCTATAGAACCATTTCTCCTTATGATCCAACCCCGATGCGGTGATTTTACACCCGCTTGGGAAAGCTTCAAACTATGACGAGTGGGATTGTGGAATTAGTACTTCGTATAGTACTTGATGAGTGAAGTATGTATGCATGCATGTAGTAAGACTGTAAGAGATTATTATGTTGATTCAATTTTGTTAGCCTTGGAAATAATTTTATTGTGGAAGAGTTAACTTATAACTGAGATAATATGTTGAAAGTGATTGAGATGATATCACTTTTTATTTCTTATGTGATGTATTAATTAAGCTTCATGTGCTCGGTGTTTTACTTTCATTGTTTGGGTTGCAGTGATTATCCACACTTACCAAGTATAAATCAGTCGATGGATATAAACAGAGGATCTGCATTACATTTCAAATGCTTCTTTCTTTTTAGATATTCGGTTTGAACATATTTTCTCATTGCCCCTACAATTTTGCTGGGTACCAAGATCTCGGCCTACGTTTTACTGATTTTTATTTTTTTTTGGTAAGTACGTTTTACTGATTTTTATGCAATCAATGTTTTATAAATAGAAGTTTTATTTTGGGGTTTTAATGTTATAAATTATTTTATTTATTTTATTTGATTCTTAAAATCATCTGCAGTAGTATTTAAACCTATCTCTAGATTAAAACTGGTTATGCGGACAACTAACCCTTTTTTACGGGACTAATAGATATGTTTATATTTGATTTATACTTTTAACGTCGTACATTTGGACTTGAATAGTTCTTCTTATCAGCTTGGCAAGATATGAGCTCTATACGTATATTGACGTTATTTGGGTTGGATGAGATCCGATCTATAATCAATTAAACCGTGGCGGAAATGATCTATTTGAGGAGAGAAAGGAGGATGTTTGTACCGAGATTGTAAAAACAGATTTATATCGGGTTTTTAGGGAGAACGGAATAACTTCTTTACTATGACTGAGTAGTTTGGTGGTTAACTACAGCAGATCGACCAAACGGAAATCGAAAATACATATCGAAATAGAAGAGGAAAAGAGTTAGGCTTTTCTACTAGGCACTTCTCTCTCTTTTTTCTTTCTCTGTGAAATGACTTGTGGTCCATATCTTGTTCCTAACATTCTCTTCTACTTTTTATAGACTATGTACTGACCTAGGGTTTCTTTTGTATCTCATAGGACTTTCCCATATTGCCCTCCGGTATCGGCCGGCCATGCCTAACATGCCAAATTGTTGTCATGTTTTGTCTAGCGGGCCGAGTTGATGGGCAAAGTTTGGGAGCAGACAGCCTGTTAGTTTCTTTAGTCGCTGTTTAGACCTAATGGCATATAAGGGGTATAGCCCATATCCAACAAGGAGAGGGGTATTGGCCCCATGTAGGGGTGTCAAAATGGATCAAGATTCATGGGTCAATCCAACTCAACTCAACCCATAAACCCTAATAAGTAGAAAATTTTGACTCAAATGAGTTGATGGATCAAATGAGTTATTGAGTCAAATGGGTTGATGGATCATATTTTTTGGGTTGTAATGGGTCAATGGTTTCAATGGTTTACCCATTTAACCTATCAATTTTTGTTAAATTGAATCAAACCAATTCAAATCTCTAAACCGATTTCAATTTGGGTCTAACGAAAACTTCTAAACCGATTGAATATAGTCCTTAATTTTCCCGCCAAAAATGTGAATACACAATTTTCCAACAAAATATAAATTTCGTGATTTTTTCGTCAAAAACGTAAATCCGCAATTTACCTGCCAAAAACGTAAAACCGTGATTTTCCCGCCAAAAAAATTTATAATTTTTAACCAAAAACGAAAATTTGTAATTTTCCAGCCAAAAACGTAAATCCGTGATTTTCCCGCCAAAAATGTAAATCCGTAATTTTTCCGTCAAAAATGTAAATCCGTGTTTTCCCGCCAAATTTTTTATGATTTTAATCAAAAATGAGAATGTAAAATTTTCCCGCCAAAAAGAAAATCCGTAATTTTCCCTCCAAAAACGTAACTCCGTGATTTTCCCGACAAATAATAGTGATGTTGATGATGATGATTATTATTATTATTGTTATTATATTTTAATTATTAATATACTTATTACATTAGTAGGTTAATGGGTCAAACCATTTAACCTTCTAACCCATCAAGTTAAATGAGTTTATGGGTTGACTCATTTGCTAAATGAGTTGAGTCAACCCATGAACTCATTTAACTCTAAACTCATTGGGTAATGAGTTGAGTTGAGTTGAGTTAGGTTAACCATTTTGACACCCCTAGTCCCATGATTTGGTTTGGTTTACATGCTTACTTTATTAGTTTATGGTGGATACTGGATAGTTTGATTTGAAGCATGTAAGTTTGACCAACCCCATCTTACAAAAAAAAAAAATGTTTGACCCCCATCAATTCATGTCTTTGTATTCATTCTTTTACATTTTTTTTCATTTCATCGCATTTTTTTATTTGCTTTTGATATGGTAAATGCATAATCTATAAAGTAGTCTACAATTTTTGTTTCCAATATATTTTAGTTATTGCAATTGGTGTTGAGTTTTTTGTTTTCGTTTTCTTTCATCTAAAGACTCCCATAATCGATAGACACAACAATTCATTAATGTGGGATACTAACTTATATATTTAGATAAGTAAATATTTTGAAAAACAAAGAAAAGCCATATACTATTCTTCATCACCAATATTAAAATAAAAAATAACAATAGGGATGACTCATGACTGAGTAATATGCAACTAAAATATATGGGTTAATCACAATATTATTCCTAGAACTATCTTATCTTATTATATAAAGTATGGTTTTCAAATTTAATAACTTATAGTATCGTGCCACGTGTCAAATTTATCGATTTTAGATTTTGACATGTGTTAATTTTTTTTTTCATTTTATTTATTGTTTTTAAAATATGAGGAAACTATACGCACATGTCAAATTTAGCAAAGTGTAAAACCAAAAAAAAGATTTGTTTAGAAAAAACTTTATAAGGAAATTATACGTATATATCTTATATAAAATAATTCTAAAATTTAAAGAAAATAAATATGAAGAAAATAGATGTATCTTATGAAATAAAAATAGAAATTTAAGAAAAAAAATTATAAGGCAATTATACATATATATCTTATAAAAACAATTTTAAAAAACTAAAGAAGATAATTATAAGAAAACTATATGTATCTTATTAAATAAAAATAGAAATTAAAAATTATTTACTAATTCTAATTCTACTAATTCTAAAAGAAAAAGATTACTTTTTCCTTAAAATTAAAAAAGATTTATGAAATTATACAATTGTATTGTATAATATGATAATTAAAAAAAAATTATAATCACTATTAATCCTAGAAGAAAAGGATTCTAAATACTCACTTCTATAGATAAACAAATAGATAGATAGACAAATTAAGAATATGTGACGATGAAGAAAAATTAAGAATTATGAACGGCGATGGACATAAAATATAGTTGTTGTCAAAGAAGCTCGACCCGATATCAGAGGAGATAAAGAAGGTGGAGAAATAAGAGTAGTTAGGGAAAGAGGTGAAGATGCGGTAACGGTGGTGTTGGTATTGATGACGGTGGTTCAATCTTGGTGGTGGTAGCGGTAAATATTGATGAATGTAGTGGGTCGAAATTAGCGAGATTATTGATGGTGATGATGATTGTGATAGTTGTGAGATTCAGTTGTGGTGGTGGCCTGGTGGGTCGAAGTAGTGAGACTCGGTGGTGATGCCCGACGAAGGAGATAAATAATGATATGGAAAAGAGAAAAAAATTATGGTGGTGAAGAAATCCAATGAGAGGGAGAGAAAGAAAAAGAAAGAGGAGATCGAAAAAAAATAAGAGAAATCTAATGAGATAAAAAGAGAGATTTGAGACTTCTCGCCGGCGAGAAGAAAGAAAAAAGAGACAACGAAGAACTCATGAGTAATATGAACAAAAAATTGACAAAACCATATAGCAAATAGACATTTTTTAGTTAATGTTATTTTCTTAATTATTTTTTAGTCAGATTATTTAGTGCATATTTCCTAATTCGTTATGAATTTGTCTTTTTGTTTTGAGGATTTCTCATATTATCAAGTAAAGTTGCATGATGTAGATATAAACTGTATCATATTGTCACAATTTTGTTTTCATCTTGCCCACATTGAAATTAGAAAGTGTTATACACTCTTCCGATGGGTGTAGATAATTAATTAAAATTGAATAATACACATATGAACATTTATTAAATATCATACTGTAACATATAAAAACAAGCTTACAAATATTATTTTATATTGCACATTATGCATAATTAATCTATATTTAAAAAATAATTAAAATACTATATTTTTAAAAATTAAAACATATTTTTATATAATTTTAGTTAAATTTACAAAAATAAAAATTAAAAATGACAATTTCGATCAGTAACATGTGCGTTGCACGGATCCAAATCTAGTTAATAAATAAAATAAAGTAAACTAATAGTAATAGCTAAGATTCTTTTAAGCATTAAAATATTATTTCAGAAATGTTTTTTCAACATATAATTATATTTATAATGAACCCATAACAAATGTTTCTGGATCCGTCACTAAATATAGTACCATGCAAAAACCTAAATAGAACTCGAGTAAAGAAATTGCGGAGCTGAACATCTTACCACTTGACCTAATCAAAGCTTAGAAGAAAGCAAACAAATTATTATACTTTCATTTATTGAAACAACTCTCTCATATTCCCACAAATTGTGAATATGTTTAGTATTTTTTAAAACTCCAAATATTTATTATGGGTATTATATATGTAATCACGAGCGTTTAGTACATACAATTAAAAATATAAGGATTCAGCTGACCATTATGTCACGTTCTTCAATATAGAGCTTTTTTCCAATGTAATAAACAAAGCATGGTTGGTCACCCTGATACATTATATTAACGGATTCTTGATCATGTTTCATCTCTGCCGCTTAACTTTGGAGAAACAATGGCAGCAATCATCGTTGATTCCCAAAACTTCTTTATCTTCATCCTTCTATGCCTCTTCTCACTCTTCTGTTACTCTCTCTTATTCAAGAAACCAAAAGACTCACGAAGCTTTGTTCTGCCTCCAAGCCCTCCTTCTCTTCCAATCATCGGTCATCTTCACCTTCTCCTCTCTGCCCTAACTCACAAGTCTCTACAGAAACTTTCCACCAAGTATGGACCTCTCCTTCTTATCCGCATCTTCTATGTACCCATCATTGTTGTTTCCTCTGCCTCTATGGCCTACGAGATCTTCAAGGCCCATGACGTGAACGTCTCCACTCGCGGTATTGTTGCGCTTGATGAGTCTCTCATGTTTGGGGCTTCTGGCATCTTGAACGCTCCCTATGGAGATTACTGGAAGTTCATGAAGAAGCTCATGGCCACTAAGCTACTCCGACCGCAAGTGCTGGAGCGGTCACGAGGTATTCGTGTTGAAGAACTACAGCGGTTTTACAGGAGCATTCTCGATAAGGCCACGAAGAATGAGAGCGTTGAGATCGGTAAGGAAGCAATGAAGCTCATGAACAACACCTTGTGTAAAATGATCATGGGAAGGAGTTTTTCAGAGGACAACGGTGAATCAAATAGAGTCAGGGGCTTGGTTGATGAAACGTATGCTTTGTCAGAGAAGATATTCTTGGCAGCTATATTGCGCAGACCTCTTGCGAAGCTTCGGATCTCACTATTCAAGAAACAGATAATGGGTGTTTCCAACAAATTCGATGAGCTGCTAGAGAGGATTCTTCAGGAACACAAAGAGAAACTGGAAGAGAAGAATCATGAAGGTATGGATATGATGGACGTGTTGTTGGAAGCTTATGGAGATGAAAACGCTGAGTATAAGATCACATGGAAGCATATCAAGGCATTTTTCGTGGTAGATGTTCCTCTCATTTTGTCGATTTAATTTGATGATTTACACGAAAATTACTTATAATGTTCCGAGTCTTCTCATTGTAGGAGTTTTTCATTGGAGGCACTGATACCTCAGTGCAAACAACACAGTGGGCAATGGCCGAGATGATCAACAATTCTAGTGTTCTTGATAGACTGAGAGAAGAAATCGTCTCCGTTGTAGGGGAAACAAGGTTGATCCAAGAAACAGATTTACCAAACCTTCCTTATTTGCAAGCAGTGGTTAAGGAAGTTCTAAGATTGCACCCACCATCACCGGTCTTAATACGGAAGTTCCAAGAAAAATGTGAAGTCAAAGGATTTTGCATACCGGAGAAGACAACACTCATTGTTAATGCTTATGCTGTGATGAGAGATTATGATTCTTGGGAAGATCCTGAAAAATTTAAGCCAGAGAGGTTTTTAAGTTTTTCAAGATCAGGGCAAGAGGACGAGAAAGAGCAAGAACTTAGGTACCTTCCTTTTGGCAGCGGAAGGAGAGGATGTCCTGGAGCAAATCTTGGTTCTATATTTGTAGGAACCGCAGTAGGAGTGATGGTGCAGTGCTTTGATTGGAAAATCAAAGAAGATAAGGTCAACATGGAAGAGACTTTTGAAGGAATGACCCTGAAAATGGTTCACCCCCTTATGTGCACTCCAGTTCTAAGAACTCAACCTTTTTCTTTTATTTCTAATATCTAAATTTCCAGCTCTGATGCTTGACTTGGGTGCTTGTAACAAGTTTACTTTCTTCTGTTCTATATGTTTGCATTTGCTCTCTTCTATTTTTTTCTTTATATTTGCTATCTGATATTCAGTATGTTTGATCCGTTGAATTATATTTGCTAATTTCTTAATGTTTGTTAGAGCATGATTATAGGTAGTCTCTTAGAAATTAATCTTAGCAATATTTAAGTAATTTATTTGTAAAAGTGATTGTTAAGAGATAGTATTTTAGAGTTAAGATTTTTGTGTGATTAATGGTAGGCTCTTAACATGTGGTTCTTAGAAAAAAAAAAATATTAATATAAAAAATAAAATTTATAATTATAGAAAATTTAATAATTGTTGCAAATTAAAAAATTTAAAACATACATGAGATACAATTTATAACATAAAGCACAAATGTTTTAAACTTGATTTCTGCAATATTTTATTCATATATGCTCGACCAAATTTTGTCCATATGCTCGACCAAATGGTGATATCCAATTTTTGACTTTTCATTGACATTAATTTATTATTTTCTGTCACAATTTATTAGTTTTAAAAGTTATATAATTTCTTTTATTATAGTAACAATTATAATTACTAAAACAATTTTTTCATCCACTAAAATAAATCATCTATAGACATAAAATTTACAAATATTTTTCTCTGTTTTGATGTATTTTGTAGAACATTTTTCCATATTAACAAAGGGAATTAAGGAATTAAGTTGACAAGAATCTTTTGGATCTCCGTGTACATATGAGAGTTTCTAGTTTTTTTGTCTCTTGTGTTTATGGCAATCCTAATAGCAGCCTGAGATATCAAGTGTGGGAGAAGCTACTTAGAATTGGTATTGCTAGAAAGGATTGTTGGTGTATGGGTGGGGATTTTAATGAAATCCTTCACAATGGTGAAAAGCTTGGTGGGCCAAGAAGGAATGAGGCTTCTTTTGTGGATTTTGGAAACATGCTTAAGGGCTGCGAAATGGTTGAGCTTTCTAGCACTGGTAATGGTTTTACATGGAGTGGTAGACGCAAGGATCTGTGGATTCAATGTAAGCTAGACCGCTGTTTTGGGAATAAAGAATGGTTCAAAGTTTTTCCTGCATCTAATCAAGCTTTTTTGGAAAAAAAAGGATCAGACCATAGACCGGTTTTGGTGCATTTGGTCTCTTCTCAAGATTCATATAGGGGCTCTTTCAGATTTGACAAGAGAATGCTGCACAAGCCTTTAGTCAGAGATTCGATTGTAAGTGCTTGGCAGGCTTCTTCTTCTGTGTTTGGTCAATCGGTGTTCCAAAGTTTGAGGAGATGCAGAAAAGCTCTTAGTAAATGGAAAAGAGAGAATGTGACCAATGCTCAAACAAAGATCAATAAGATTCAAGAAGAGATTGAGTATCTCCATGCGGCTGTCCAGCCTTCCTTTTCAAGAATGGCAATTTTGAAAAGAGAAATGGTTCTGGCTCATAGAGAGGAAGAGAGCTTCTGGTCACAAAAATCTCGCCATGGCTGGTTGCACTCTGGTGATAAAAATACAAAGTACTTTCATGCTTCAGTCAAAGCTGAAAGGAATAAAAACGGACTGGAAAAGTTAATAGATGATGATGGCTCTACTCACTGTTCTGAGGCCTCTAAAGGAGATGTGGCTGCCAGGTACTTTCACAAGCTCTTCTCCTCTTCCTATCCTGTGGAGGCTGATCTCCAGTTTTTCCAAGACTTTGCTCCAAGAGTTACTGCTTCAATGAACGACTCACTTTGTGCTGCAGTGTCAAAAGAAGAAGTAAAGGCAGCTGTTTTCTCTGTAAAACCCTCTAGTGCACCAGGAGCTGATGGAATGACTGGTTGTTTCTTCCAACAATACTGGGACATTGTTGGAGAACAGGTCACTACTGAGGTCTTGAATTTTTTCAAGTTTGGAGTCTTTCAAAAAGAATGGAACTTAACTCAGCTCTGCCTTATTCCCAAGAAGGTAATTGCCTCTGCCATGGTTGATTTGAGGCCAATTAGTCTTTGCTCGGAAATGTATAAGATTATCTCCAAAATTATTGTGGCAAGACTCAAACCTCTCTTGTCAGAAATTGTCTCCCCGTCCCAGTCTGCTTTTGTGGAAGAAAGGCTCATTTCTGACAACATCTTAATAGCCCATGAAGTAGTTCATGGCTTGAGAACTCACGCTGCCACTTCCAAGGAGTTTATGGCTATAAAAACTGACATGTCGAAAGCCTTTGACCGTGTGGAATGGAGCTACCTTCGTGCCTTGTTATCTGCTTTGGGTTTTAATGATGTTTGGGTTGATCTAGTCATGACATGTGTTACTACCGTATCTTACACTGTTTTGATCAACGGTCAAGCCTTCAGATTAGTGGAGCCTCAGAGAGGACTGAGACAAGGTGACCCTCTGTCTCCCTTTCTTTTTGTGTTATGTACTGAAGGTTTGTCCCATCTGCTGAATAAAGCTGAGCTAGATGGAAGAATCAATGGCCTGCAATTCTCTCCTCATGGACCGTCTATCAACCATCTTCTGTTCGCTGATGATACCCTTTTTGTCTGTAAAGCACAAGTCTCCCAATGTGATACTATCCAAGAGATCCTTGACATCTATGGGAAAGCTACAGGGCAGATCATAAACAAAGTTAAATCATCTATCACCTTTGGTGCTAAAGTTGATGATGCCTTAAAGGTTTTAGTTCAGAATAAGCTCATGATCTCCAATGAAGGTGGCGCAGGGACCTATCTTGGCCTGCCTGAATGTTTCAGTGGCTCAAAAAAAGACATGTTGGAGTACATCAATGACAGGCTAAGAAACAAGCTTTCGGGTTGGTTTGCTAGAACATTGTCTCAGGGAGGAAAGGAGATCCTGATCAAATCGGTTGCCATGGCCATGCCGGTTTACGCAATGTCCTGTTTTAAGTTGCCTAAATCGACTTGTTCTGCTTTATCTGGGGCTATCTCCTCTTTCTGGTGGAGTACTATGGAGAATAACAAGAAAATTCACTGGGTTTCATGGGACAAAATGTGTCTTCCTAAAGCGCTGGGTGGGTTTGGTTTCAAAGATATTGAGGTTTTTAATCAAGCCTTGCTTGCTAAACAAGCTTGGAGACTGCTACACAATCCCTCCTGTCTCTTCTCCCTTTTCTTCAAGAGCAGGTACTTTGTGGACTCTCCCTTCCTTTTGGCCACTGCGGGAAGCCGGCCTTCTTTTGCTTGGAAGAGTATCCTTCATGGTCGTCTTTTGTTAGAAAAAGGCTTGAGGCCTTGTATTGGTGATGGTGCTTCGACTAGTGTTTGGACTGGGCAGTGGCTCCTTGATGGTAGACTGCGAGCCCCTCTTATGAAAAACATTCTGGTTGACTTAGATCTTTTGGTCCAAGAGTTAATTGACCCTATTTCTAAGACCTGGGACCCGGATATACTTCAGGAATTGTTTTTCCAAGGAGATATTGATCTCATTAACAAGATCAAACCAGTTGTCTCTAGCCAAGATTTCTGGATTTGGCTTCATAACAAGAGCGGAGAGTACTCGGTGAGATCTGGCTATTGGCTTGCCTCTCGTGACCAGAATATTGAGCTTTTTCAGACTGCGGCTGCTCTCCCTTCACTAAACCCGATTAAAGACTTGATTTGGACTGCCCTAGCTCCTTCCAAAATCAAAGTTTTCATGTGGAAAGCTGTCAGTGGTGCAATACCAGTTGCGGAGAAGCTAGCCTCTAGAGGTATCTCCTTGGACCAGAGATGTCAGGTTTGTGGTCTTGAAGGTGAATCAATCAACCACCTTCTCTTTATTTGCACTCTTGCTAGGCATGTTTGGGCTCTTGCAGACATTCCTTCACCGGAGAATGGTTTTGGTGGTCACTCTCTTTACCACAATATCCATTACATCCTCAAGCTGGCCAAGTGCTCCTCTGTTCAGGTTGAGAAAAGAAGAGCAATCCCGTGGATTTTATGGCGTCTTTGGAAGAATCGAAACAATCTTGTTTTTGAAGGGTTGGTCTTTGTGGTGCTGGAAATGATTGGAAAAATCCACGAGGATGCTTCAGATTGGTTTTTAGCTCAACAAGTGGAGGAGGAGTCTGTGGTATTTGGTACCAAGCATGCAAAAGGCTCAAATTCTGTGTGGAAACCGCCGGAGAGGCCTTGGTTGAAATGCAATGTGGCTGCAACTTGGGACAGAGAAAAAAAGGTTGGAGGAGCGGCATGGGTCTTGAGGAACTCTTCTGGTGTAGTCTTACTTCACAGCAGAATTTCCTTTGCTCTCATTGACTCAAAAGATGAGGCTGTTCTACAAGGCTGGCTTTGGACTATCGAAAGTATGTTTAGTCTCAAAATCAGATATGTGGTTTTTGCGGTTGAAGCTTGTGACCTTTTGCAGGCTATGAGTAGACCGGCGGCTTGGCCCTCTTTCAAGCTACAGTCTGAACTTATCTCTAAGGCGCTGGATACTGTCCCCTTCTGGAAGCTGCGCAAAGAAGATAGAAAAGCTAACAAAGGTGCTCTTTTGATTGCAAAGAGTGTTACCTTGGAGGATCGAAGACAATCATACGTAGCTTCGGGCTACCCCTTTTGGTTAAAGGATTTGTTCACTGAAGATATGTGTATTACTTAGTTGTAATGCGTTTTTTGTTTTCTCTGTTGGTGATTGTCTTCGATCCTTTAATTTTTTGGCCTTGATGTAATTTGATAACAGTTCTTATGCTAATGAAAGTTATTCAGTCGAAAAAAATAAAATAAATAACATACGTTATTTTGGATATACTGTACATATTTGGGAGTGAAGGCAGACCAAATCAGAGATGAGTATTGAGTAGTGCAGACGTTTGTTTTTATGTTTGACCATCTCATTTGCTTTTATTTTCTCTTCAAATGTTTCTCTGTTTTCTGTCACATTGCTATGTTTCTATCCTCTGTTTCTCTTCCCATCTTCTCTCTGTTTTACTTTTAATCCTTTGTCTTGTATAGATGGGTTTCCTACTATCATCCTTATGAATTCAACAATGCTCCCATTTCTTCAGAATCATCTTCTTCCCTGAAACAAATCATCATTCATTCATCATTCATCATCTAAGTAACTAACATACACATAAAAATAAGGAGAATCAAAACTTGTGCTTGAGTACAAGCCCTGGCTATGATTCCAGAGCC